ATTTGTCATCTGATCGGTACCTTATTTTTTTTTAATGTAACTTGTCTGTTTATAACCTGCTGCCTGTCTTTGAACTGTGTCTGTTGCTGCTGTGTTCTGACGTCTTTGTCTGCCTGCTGCAGGTCTGTGTCTCTCTACTGACGTCGCCCTCCTGAACTCCTCACCTGCTCTGGTCTGCATTACCTTCAACATCAGGTGAACCGTTTAACTTTTAATCACAGCTCAGTACTGATTCATCTTCCTCTACAAGCTCCATGTAAATGCATTTAAGGTTAATTCGTCATGACGATCTGAAATGTTGATTGGTAATGATCGATTTTAACATTTTTATTTAAATCTTGGTCATGGATGACTTTGCTTGTAACACACTAATTACAGCCACACCTGAGCTTTTATTAAGAGACAGTTAAATGGTAAAGTGACATGTAGAATCCTGCTGTGCTGTTCTGCATTGAGAACCCTATCAATGTTAGTGTTGTCAGTGTTAGAGATTTGTTAAATAGAAAACCAGGATTTTACAGTGAATATAAACTAAACATCTGAGTGTTATTTGACTCTTTTATAACTTCAATGTCTTTAAAGTTAGAGCTCTTTGTTTCCTCTGAAAGAAAACTGAACGTCACAGTTCCTTCATTTAATCATTCAGTCTTTGCTGCTGTTGGTCTGTTCAGATGCAGCCACTCCCATCTATTATTCATATTCAAATGTTCCAACCTTTCCTTTGAAAAACACGCCACAAAACTTGTCCAGTCATGGTTTTGTCATCTTAGAAATATTTCAAAGATTCGATCTTATTTAACTTTTAAAGACACAGAGAGGATTTTATTTCCTCACGGCTGGATCACTGCAGCAGCCTTTTTATGTGTCTCAGTCAGAATCCCTGGACAGACTGCAGACGGTGCAGAACTCTGCTGCCAGGCTCCGAACCAGGAAGAGGAAACGTGAGCACACCACGCCTGTTTGAGCTCCTTTACATCGGCTGCCAGTACGATTTAGGATTGATTTAAAGATTCTGTTGATCACATTTAAAGCACTCAGCGGTCTGTGTCCTACTGACACTGCCGACCCTCTAACACCGTACCCTCCACCACGCTCCTTACGATCCTCGGGCAAAGGCCAGTTAACTGTCCCAGAGGCCCGGCTGAAGGGGGACAGAACATTTTCAGTCCCGGGCCGAGGTTCTGGAACGACCTGCCCGAGGACATCAGCTCGGCTGATTCTGTGCTCGCTTTAAGCCACTTCTTTAACACATTTTCATCGGAGAGCTTTTCCTGACTTTATTTAAGCTTTAAGTTTTAAAGCTTCTTGTGCTATTTGTGTGCTTTCTGTTTTTATCTCACTCTGTGTGCTTGTTTTATTTCAAGTGTAATTAATTTTGATTGGAAAGCACTTTGCAACATTCGTTATGAAAAGTGACTGTAAATAAAGTTTATTATTACAAAAGCAACGTCTTATTTCACTAAACTATAATTTAGCATTTTTTCATTCATTCTTACTTTTTTCAGCTTGTACTTATTTGAGAGAATATTTTGAATTTGGCCTTTTCTTTATGAATAGATTTGAGGACGACTGTCCATAGACTGGGTCATCATCATCACCAGACATTTCAGAGTCAGGACCAGGACCAGCTGCCTCCTCATCTCCTTCATCTGGTCCCTCATGCAGCATCTCGTCAACCATTTAAGCAGTAAATCTGCAAAATCTCTGAATACAGAAAATCAACAGCACAAAATATTCGTTTCTGGTGTGGCAGCCCTGGGCAGGTTTCAAATCCCAGACTCTCAGTCACTTGCCCTAACCACGTCGCCTAAGAGCCGGGCCAGGTGCATTATCACTTGGAGGCGTTTCTGGGCACAGGACCTGTCAACTGTCACATGAGTTTTACTTTGGTGACCTAGTGAAGAAAGTACTTATTCTCAAAGTAGTGCTTCAATTATTCTACACAGTTATCCTTCACAAGTCATCAAGTGTCTTCTCAGGTCACATTAGAATAATTATAAAACAAGACTTAGATACCAGATGTGCTGATCCCATCAGAAGAGTCGTGGTACAAAAAGTGTTATAATAAAAGAAGGATGTATTATGATCAAAAACAAGTTGAATGATGACATTAATTTATTGCAGAGACACAGCACCTATCGTCGGGTCACTTTGGACCCATGTTGTGCATCAAAGGGTTAATGTCTGCTGCCTCCTGAGTTACCACTCCTCTCTGGTGGGAGGGAAAAAATGAAGTAACAGAGGCGGGTTCAGACTCAACTTTGACCAAGTGTAGAAACGAAACTTAACTGTAAGACGGATCTGAAAGTGCTCTGAAGGCCGACAAAGGTGAGAAAAAAAGATTTATTTCAAAGTGAAATGTCCCTCAAAGTGTAGCTGAGAGTGCAGCTTCGTGGCAGTGTTTTGTGGAGGCAGCGTTGGATTCCTCTTTTCCCTGACAGGACTTTTGTATGCTTGTGTGCTTTTTCAAAGTTATNGGTGGCCTCCCTCACTAGTCTCCTTCTTGCTCAGTCACTCAGTGTTTGAGGACGACCTGTCCTATGTAGGTTTATGCATGTGCCATCGTCCTTCTGTTTCATAATGGTGGATTTAACTGGACTCCAAGAGATATTCAGTGACTTGGACATTTAAGTAGAACTGACAATCAGTGAATGCTTTAAAGGGGGAAACTTCTACACCTAGTTTTCACTGAACAAACCGTGTCAGGAGAAGGACTGCAGATGTAGAGCTGCATCATGCAGATTGCTCCTTGTCTGTATAGTGGTGTTCATCGGGGTAAGGTGCCCCCTTTAAGAGCAATGTGCATCTAAAACATGTAGCTTTTTGAATATTAATATAAAATGTACACAGGTAGAACATTTAGAGGAATGTGACCAAATAAAATACCTAAAACACAGCTGACAGCATCAGTGGACCACAGACTGCCCTCTAAAGTCTTACATGCCTCACTAGTGAGCTCTACATGTGTGTGCTCTCTGCACACTGGGCTGGTGCACTGGGAACACCAGCTGCTGACTTTTCTGTCTTTGGAAGCTCAGCAGATTGCAAACCTCTTCGTCTTCCCTCGGCCCTCCTGCCTAATGCCCACCTGTGGCTGTGTGGTGGCTCACGTTTGTTGGTGTTTTTCCTTATCCTGCATCTTCCCATTGCATCAGTGTTATGGTTTTGGAGTTGCCCAGCTCCTTGATGGACAGCCGGTGTGCACTGTTCACACCACTCATGTAATCAGGGTGTTGTGCAGTGACGTTGGTGTCGGCATTGAGGACGGCCGCGTCCAGCATGTTGTACCAGAGCACCATTAGCCACGTCTGTGTTTTCAGTTTACAGGAGTAGATGCTAACATCTGATCCACTGTGTCCACCTTTTGTTTTGTTGTAGAAGCTCCTCGATGACGTTGTCACTGATGAACATATCCCAGGCATCTTTTGGTGAGACAGCTGCTGATCCAGGTGTACGTCCTGGGCAGCTCCTCACAATGTTCTGACTTGTTGTTCTGCCCTGAGTGAGAGCATTCTCATTCCAGTAGCACCCATTTTTACTTCATCTATTTGACTGGGTCTGAGTTTCCTCTTCAGAGGTTCATCAGAGGAGTCTGTTCATCATTCAGGAGAGCTGGAGTCCAGGACACACCCACAACTCCGGCTTGACCCTGAGGTACACTCGTCCTCAAATGTGTTCATAGCCTCCCATTAAAGAAGGAAAAAAACAGCTTCAGGCACTGAAATAGGTTGAAACTGACAAAAGCAATAATAAATAAAAATGTAAAGAACATCATGACGTTGCTTTTGAATTGTGGTTCAACAGAAATAAAAACAACAACAAACAAACCAGCATGATGTCACCTGTAAACTACTATTTAGTTGAACAACCCTCTGAGCCAATCACTGCCATCAGGTGTTTCCTGTAGCTCTCAGTCAGACTTCTGCACCTGTTGACAGGTGTTCTGGACCACTGCTCATCAGCAAAGGCCTCTCATTGGTCCGGGACAGTTTTGTTTGTTAATTTTTTAAATTATTATTTTCAAGCACAACTCAAAAGAATCGGATCCCAGCAGATGACAAAACAAACTGTACCATCTGCTGGCCCGCTGGTGGAAAAACACGAAGTCCTACTGACACTGCCGACCCTCTAACACCGTACCCTCCACCACGCTCCTTACGATCCTCGGGCAAAGGTCAGTTAACTGTCCCAGAGGCCTGGCTGAAGGGGGACAGAACATTTTCAGTCCCGGGCCGAGGTTCTGGAACGACCTGCCCGAGGACATCAGCTCGGCTGATTCTGTGCTCGCTTTAAGCCACTTCTTTAACACATTTTCATCGGAGAGCTTTTCCTGACTTTATTTGAGCTTTAAGTTTTAAAGCTTCTTGTGCTATTTGTGTGCTTTCTGTTTTTATCTCACTCTGTGTGCTTGTTTTGTTTCAAATGTAATTAATTTTGATTGGAAAGCACTTTGCAACATTCGTTATGAAAAGTGACTGTAAATAAAGTTTATTATTACAAAAGCAACGTCTTATTTCCATCCAT